AGGGAAAGACCATTGCATTCCTGGGGGGAGGGCAAGTGGTCAGAGAGCATTCTGTACTGATGAGGGGGATAGGGAGAGACCAAAGTGCACACTGGGAGGGGTGTGTCAGTGAGACCATTATACACAGGCAAGGAGGGGGAGTAAGGACAGACCATTATGCATTTGAGAGGGTCTGTGTGGGAGAGACCATTATGGTCAGAGCAAGAGAGGGGTGCATAGACAGACCATTATGCACTTGAGATGGGGGGATCTGGGAAAGACCATTATGATCAGAGAAAGAAAGGGTGTGTCTGGGAGAGCCCATCAAAGCTATGGGTGTGTTTCTGAGGGACGTCAATGGCAAACCGCTAGGGGCTGGAGCAGCTCCCGTGGGGCCCACTGGAGGAGCAGCCCCTGTCCCTGGGGGTCTGCCCCCCCTGCAAGTTACAGGCTGGCCCGGCGGCCCCTGGGGACGTGGAACCACCAGGCTTGTGCCCGTTACTCACTTAGGTGTTTCCCCGGTTCTGACGGAGGGGTGGGGGGGATGGGAAGCAGGGCTCCTGGGTTCCCTCCCCGGTTCTGACGGAGGGGTGGGGGGGATGGGAAGCAGGGCTCCTGGGTTCCCTCCCCGGTTCTGACGGAGGGGTGGGGGGGATGGGAAGCAGGGCTCCTGGGTTCCCTCCCCGGTTCTGACGGAGGGGTGGGGGGGATGGGAAGCAGGGCTCCTGGGTTCCCTCCCCGGTTCTGACGGAGGGGTGGGGGGGATGGGAAGCAGGGCTCCTGGGTTCCCTCCCCGGTTCTGACGGAGGGGTGGGGGGGATGGGAAGCAGGGCTCCTGGGTTCCCTCCCCGGTTCTGACGGAGGGGTGGGGGGGATGGGAAGCAGGGCTCCTGGGTTCCCTCCCCGGTTCTGACGGAGGGGTGGGGGGGATGGGAAGCAGGGCTCCTGGGTTCCCTCCCCGGTTCTGACGGAGGGGTGGGGGGGATGGGAAGCAGGGCTCCTGGGTTCCCTCCCCGGTTCTGACGGAGGGGTGGGGGGGATGGGAAGCAGGGCTCCTGGGTTCCCTCCCCGGTTCTGACGGAGGGGTGGGGGGGATGGGAAGCAGGGCTCCTGGGTTCCCTCCCCGGTTCTGACGGAGGGGTGGGGGGGATGGGAAGCAGGGCTCCTGGGTTCCCTCCCCGGTTCTGACGGAGGGGTGGGGGGGATGGGAAGCAGGGCTCCTGGGTTCCCTCCCCGGTTCTGACGGAGGGGTGGGGGGGATGGGAAGCAGGGCTCCTGGGTTCCCTCCCCGGTTCTGACGGAGGGGTGGGGGGGATGGGAAGCAGGGCTCCTGGGTTCCCTCCCCGGTTCTGACGGAGGGGTGGGGGGGATGGGAAGCAGGGCTCCTGGGTTCCCTCCCCGGTTCTGACGGAGGGGTGGGGGGGATGGGAAGCAGGGCTCCTGGGTTCCCTCCCCGGTTCTGACGGAGGGGTGGGGGGGATGGGAAGCAGGGCTCCTGGGTTCCCTCCCCGGTTCTGACGGAGGGGTGGGGGGGATGGGAAGCAGGGCTCCTGGGTTCCCTCCCCGGTTCTGACGGAGGGGTGGGGGGGATGGGAAGCAGGGCTCCTGGGTTCCCTCCCCGGTTCTGACGGAGGGGTGGGGGGGATGGGAAGCAGGGCTCCTGGGTTCCCTCCCCGGTTCTGACGGAGGGGTGGGGGGGATGGGAAGCAGGGCTCCTGGGTTCCCTCCCCGGTTCTGACGGAGGGGTGGGGGGGATGGGAAGCAGGGCTCCTGGGTTCCCTCCCCGGTTCTGACGGAGGGGTGGGGGGGATGGGAAGCAGGGCTCCTGGGTTCCCTCCCCGGTTCTGACGGAGGGGTGGGGGGGATGGGAAGCAGGGCTCCTGGGTTCCCTCCCCGGTTCTGACGGAGGGGTGGGGGGGATGGGAAGCAGGGCTCCTGGGTTCCCTCCCCGGTTCTGACGGAGGGGTGGGGGGGATGGGAAGCAGGGCTCCTGGGTTCCCTCCCCGGTTCTGACGGAGGGGTGGGGGGGATGGGAAGCAGGGCTCCTGGGTTCCCTCCCCGGTTCTGACGGAGGGGTGGGGGGGATGGGAAGCAGGGCTCCTGGGTTCCCTCCCCGGTTCTGACGGAGGGGTGGGGGGGATGGGAAGCAGGGCTCCTGGGTTCCCTCCCCGGTTCTGACGGAGGGGTGGGGGGGATGGGAAGCAGGGCTCCTGGGTTCCCTCCCCGGTTCTGACGGAGGGGTGGGGGGGATGGGAAGCAGGGCTCCTGGGTTCCCTCCCCGGTTCTGACGGAGGGGTGGGGGGGATGGGAAGCAGGGCTCCTGGGTTCCCTCCCCCCGGTTCTGACGGAGGGGTGGGGGGGATGGGAAGCAGGGCTCCTGGGTTCCCTCCCCGGTTCTGACGGAGGGGTGGGGGGGATGGGAAGCAGGGCTCCTGGGTTCCCTCCCCGGTTCTGACGGAGGGGTGGGGGGGATGGGAAGCAGGGCTCCTGGGTTCCCTCCCCGGTTCTGACGGAGGGGTGGGGGGGATGGGAAGCAGGGCTCCTGGGTTCCCTCCCCGGTTCTGACGGAGGGGTGGGGGGGATGGGAAGCAGGGCTCCTGGGTTCCCTCCCCGGTTCTGACGGAGGGGTGGGGGGGATGGGAAGCAGGGCTCCTGGGTTCCCTCCCCGGTTCTGACGGAGGGGTGGGGGGGATGGGAAGCAGGGCTCCTGGGTTCCCTCCCCGGTTCTGACGGAGGGGTGGGGGGGATGGGAAGCAGGGCTCCTGGGTTCCCTCCCCGGTTCTGACGGAGGGGTGGGGGGGATGGGAAGCAGGGCTCCTGGGTTCCCTCCCCGGTTCTGACGGAGGGGTGGGGGGGATGGGAAGCAGGGCTCCTGGGTTCCCTCCCCGGTTCTGACGGAGGGGTGGGGGGGATGGGAAGCAGGGCTCCTGGGTTCCCTCCCCGGTTCTGACGGAGGGGTGGGGGGGATGGGAAGCAGGGCTCCTGGGTTCCCTCCCCGGTTCTGACGGAGGGGTGGGGGGGATGGGAAGCAGGGCTCCTGGGTTCCCTCCCCGGTTCTGACGGAGGGGTGGGGGGGATGGGAAGCAGGGCTCCTGGGTTCCCTCCCCGGTTCTGACGGAGGGGTGGGGGGGATGGGAAGCAGGGCTCCTGGGTTCCCTCCCCGGTTCTGACGGAGGGGTGGGGGGGATGGGAAGCAGGGCTCCTGGGTTCCCTCCCCGGTTCTGACGGAGGGGTGGGGGGGATGGGAAGCAGGGCTCCTGGGTTCCCTCCCCGGTTCTGACGGAGGGGTGGGGGGGATGGGAAGCAGGGCTCCTGGGTTCCCTCCCCGGTTCTGACGGAGGGGTGGGGGGGATGGGAAGCAGGGCTCCTGGGTTCCCTCCCCGGTTCTGACGGAGGGGTGGGGGGGATGGGAAGCAGGGCTCCTGGGTTCCCTCCCCGGTTCTGACGGAGGGGTGGGGGGGATGGGAAGCAGGGCTCCTGGGTTCCCTCCCCGGTTCTGACGGAGGGGTGGGGGGGATGGGAAGCAGGGCTCCTGGGTTCCCTCCCCGGTTCTGACGGAGGGGTGGGGGGGATGGGAAGCAGGGCTCCTGGGTTCCCTCCCCGGTTCTGACGGAGGGGTGGGGGGGATGGGAAGCAGGGCTCCTGGGTTCCCTCCCCGGTTCTGACGGAGGGGTGGGGGGGATGGGAAGCAGGGCTCCTGGGTTCCCTCCCCGGTTCTGACGGAGGGGTGGGGGGGATGGGAAGCAGGGCTCCTGGGTTCCCTCCCCGGTTCTGACGGAGGGGTGGGGGGGATGGGAAGCAGGGCTCCTGGGTTCCCTCCCCGGTTCTGACGGAGGGGTGGGGGGGATGGGAAGCAGGGCTCCTGGGTTCCCTCCCCGGTTCTGACGGAGGGGTGGGGGGGATGGGAAGCAGGGCTCCTGGGTTCCCTCCCCGGTTCTGACGGAGGGGTGGGGGGGATGGGAAGCAGGGCTCCTGGGTTCCCTCCCCGGTTCTGACGGAGGGGTGGGGGGGATGGGAAGCAGGGCTCCTGGGTTCCCTCCCCGGTTCTGACGGAGGGAGGTGAAGGGGGCCCTGGCCCTGGCGCGGGAGAAGTTCGGGCGCTTGGACGTGGCCGTGAACTGCGCCGGGATTGCCGTGGCCATCAAGACCTACAACAGCAAGAAGGACGCGCCCCACAGCCTGGAGGATTTCCAGCGGGTCATCAATGTGAGTGGTGGATCCGGACCCGCTGCCTCCAGCCCCTCCCCCAGAGTCTCCTCGGGGGCCAGGTGAGCCCCGGGAAGCGACACGCTACACGGGGCGGGGGCTGGGCAGGGGTGCTCGCCCTGGCCCTGTGCCCCAGCTGATGCCCTGCTTGTGGTTTAGGTGGGTCAGGCTGCATACTCCGCCTCGAAAGGGGGCATCGTGGGCATGACCCTGCCCATTGCCAGAGATCTGGCCCCCATGGGGATCCGTGTCGTGGGGCCAGGTGAGCCCCGGGAAGCGACACGCTACACGGGGCGGGGGCTGGGCAGGGGTGCTCGCCCTGGCCCTGTGCCCCAGCTGATGCCCTGCTTGTGGTTTAGGTGGGTCAGGCTGCATACTCCGCCTCGAAAGGGGGCATCGTGGGCATGACCCTGCCCATTGCCAGAGATCTGGCCCCCATGGGGATCCGTGTCGTCACAATTGCCCCAGGTACCAATCCCAGTATCCATCTTGTCATGACGTGGGAGCACAGGGGCTGCGGGTCGGGGGCGAGGGGCGCCGGCAGGGCT